AGGTAGCCATTTGTACTGATAGGCTACATGTGGATTATGCAGGGTCTCCAATCCAGAGTTCTAATTCGATATGGACATTCACAACAGCCATCTACTAAGGAAGTCCACATTGAATACCTGGTCCAAAAGAGCTGGATTCTCAATATGGTGGAATTGAGTGGAAAACCAAAATTCTGCTAGAGTGCCCTAACAACTTGGCATTGAGAAAGGAAAATGCCAAAACAGATGGAGCAACGAGAAAGAGAAGATCAAACCAGAAAAGAAGAAGAAAGGAAGAGGATGATGACATGGAGTCCAAAGGAAGTAAAGGAACAACAAACAAGATAAATACTGCTCAGACGCAGTGAAACAGGAGCTAGACAAGAAGCACAGCAGCAATGATAACACAAATATTTGAAGCATTAAGGAGAAATCAAATTATGAGGAGTAGCAGAATTAGAAACGGTTTGCACCCTGATGATAAAAGAGAAGGCCACTGAACAGACTGTGCATGCAGATACCAGAAATGAGGCAGGACAAAGGAGCACCTAAAACCAGCACTCCTACATGCTCAGCCACCATGATTCATCACTATCTTGGATGTGAGGGGCTGAATAAGTCTCCACAGCAGCCGCAGACAGTGGGAAATTCTTTTGCTCGAGAAAAACGTGGATATGATAGCTCTGCCTTGAAACAGAGTCAAAAAGCAGATAGGCAAGGCATCGGTTAAAGAATAGGCAACTTGATGAAAACTGAGGACAATTATGATATGACCAATGGAGGAATATGGCTAATGTGGAAGGGAAGCCAAATGTTATGTATAAGTACTGGAGAGAGACGACAACTGATTTCCATGATGTATCGTGGCAAGATAAGAGATTATCTGTTTTCCAACTTTGTCATAAGATTTGTTTACTGGAATTACATAGCTGCTTCAAACATAGACAATCACTATGGGGGAAACTAAGAAGTAAACCAGTTGAATTCCTTGGCTTATAATAGGAGATTTCAATAGTCTACTAATGTTAATGTAGAATTAAATGGTAATCCTGTACACAAGCTGAAGTTAGTAGATTTTCCAAAATTGTATTGAAGATATAGCAGTAAGGGCAGTTACCAAAAAGGGGGACTTCACATGGCGTACACAAAAGAGATGCCTGAAGTAAGAATAATATATCATATAGATTGGGCCTTTGGGAATGCTGAATGGTTCAACCCATACACTGGGGTATTGAAGGACCAATACATGCTTCCTGGATGTTCAGACCATACTCCAATAATGATAGTACTCTGAAGGTCAGAAAATGAAAGTCAACAGACCTTACAGATTGTTAACTACTGTAATGAAGCAGGCAGAATATAAGGGAGATTGTTACAACAGAGTATGGGAACAAAGAAAGTGGAGGAGATGCTATGTCTAACACGTCTGGAGAAAATTGCAGCAGATTGAGAAGAGACTAGAAGTATAAACATGAGCAAGTTTCATCAGTGGATAAAAAGCTAAACAAGACGAGAGAAGAGTTGAATCAGATTCCAACAGAATGTTAAATGAAGATTATTTTAATGCTAAAGAACTGATAGAGGATGAAAGGAAATGTCTAGCAAATATTGAGAAGTGGGAAAGCAGTCCAAGAACAAATATTCAGTGAAAAATCAATAGAGCTACATGGATCCACTAGGACCCAAAATACAAAGTATTTTCCATGCCTGTATGCGAGCTAGCCAAGCAAGAAACAAAGTGAGGCTGCATTTACAATGATACTCAGGTGAAGATCACAGAACCAGCTGATTCAACCAGGGAGTTCATACCAATTCTTCACAGTTATGGATAAGCAAGCAAGACCAAATGCCCAGGAATTGATCTATATAGTCAAGTTTGGGCCATGCTTGACAAGTGTTCAACAGCAGCAACTAGGTAGCTCAATTCACTAATGAGAAGATCAGCAGTAGTGAGGACCTGCCTAATGATAAGGCACCAGGAACTTGGATGATATCCTGCAGAATATCTTCAAGAGTACTGTCAATTCATCAGGGCGAGAAGTAACAGATGCTGTGCAATGTTTTTTCAAAAAAGGATAGTAATTAAGGAGGTAAATTGCACAACTTGTCACATTGATCAACAAAGGTAAAAAAATCCCAGTCTTGTTGATGAGTTTAGGCCTATTGCTTGTTGTTCAACAACTATACAAGATCATAGCTAAACTCTTAACAAATAAACTAAAAAATGATGGTGGATTACGGTTTGGACCTGCTCATCTGCTTTTATGAAGGAAGGAATTATACGAAATGTGATATGGCACATGAACTAAATCAAAAGGATATATCAGAAGAATGTATCACCAAGGTGTATGTAAAGGTGGACGATTAGGAAAGCCTATGAATTCTGTAAAATGAGGTTTTCTTGAGACGTTATTACTGGTTGTTAAGATATATATATATATATATATATATATATATATATATATATATTAAATTACAAAAACCCTTCCACTTCCAGTACTCTATCTCTANATGAACTGTGCAAGCGTTTCCTGAACGGCTGGTGCAGTAGTAGGCATCTCGGGTGCCTGCGCTCCGACTAGAGCAACTGGTGGCTCCTCTGTGGCAGATCGTGCAGGTGCTCTAGCTGCACCACGTGGACGTCCTACCCTGGCCCCAACCTCTGGCAGCGCGATATAGTTATCAATGATAGAGTTCCCCACTTGGATTAAAGCCAAAAAGACATAGTCTTAGAGCTTTACGATAACTTATTCTCACTCGTTCATCCTGTCATATCTTTGACACTCAGCTCATCTTCTCATAAGCTCATGTGATACTAAGCTTAGCGCCTCTCATGACAGTTGACAGATGTACACTTTAACCTTAGAACAATCGTGTCACCTTGCTTGAACTATTCAAACATTCTCTGTAACACACATATTCCACTAAATAAAAGGAAATTTTTAGTAATTAGTACTTCATAAGAAGTCATACACCATCAGACCTCCTTAAAGGATATAACTACACCTATCTTTGTCCTTGTCCAACGTCTTACAGTAACCTTATCATGGTTGCCACTCTCTAAGCAATTTGTTCTGCTTTTTTCACTCTACAACACATGACACACTACATCATTCTTATGTAGGCGTTAACAGACATGTATGTCTGGACTCAATGTGTAATTTCCTATTTTGAATTTGTATGCTAGGCTGTCAGCAAATAATTAATGCACGCAAAATAGATTGAATTAGGCCGATAAATCGCCCGATAACCGCTCGATAAGAGCTAAACCGATACCAATCCGCCCAATATCTTATCGGGTGGCTAGCAGATCAATACATTTAAATGTCGATAACCGATAAGCCAAACCGTTAAGAGTAAATAACCGCCCAATCCGCCCGATAAGCAGCCCTACTTCCTATTCTTGTTTTCTTGTAGGACTTTCTAAATCCTCATTTTCTTCATATGATGCATGTTGGAAATCTATTCAAATCTCCTTCAATTGTAAATTCTTACGTTTCATTCGAACTTGGCCTAATATCTTAACATAATACAAGTTTCAACCAATCAACGAGAATGTTAGTTTCCTCTTGCTACCAAAGGCCTATTTTTAGTTAGATTTCAGTCATACATGAGAAATATTCTTTAGTATCTTAAGGTTATAATTAAGTTTCACATCTCTTAAATTTTGAATCAGAAACATATTCGAAAGTCCTACAAGAAAACAAGAATAGGAAGGCTAGAACGATGGGATCCAAGGACAGAGCTCGACTTATAGAATAATACAGGAAATATGGTTATTGAAACTCTTACCATTACGACTTATAGATAACATATACAACTCCTAATACTTGGGAAATTTTCATAAAGCACTATCTTTTAGTAGTAATTAGTCATTTATAGATACCATTTGCTATATTACGAATTATAGATACCTTTTCTGTGGGTATAAGATGTATTTGATGTTTTTAAGCTATTGTATTCATGAATACAGTAGCAAAAATAGGCGTGAATCAGGGAAGTCCAACTAATCAGTTGTTGTATTCGAGTGTATTCGACTGTATTCATGGAGTGAAACATGGGATTACAGCNAAAGCCTATGATTATGTGGAATGGGATTTTCTGAGAACAGTATTACTGGAGTTTGGTGTGCCCTTTAAGCTAGTGGAATTGATTATGGCATGTGTTAGTACAATAAGCTACTCACTACTGTTGAATGGAGGCCTCACTGAGAAGTTTGAAGCAAGGAAAGGCTTAAGGCAAGGGGACCCCATGTTACCTTACCTGTTTGTTCTAGCCATGGAGTACCTCAATAGATCTCTGAAAGCTCTGACAAGAATACCAAATTTTAATTTTCATCCTAAATGCAGGAAACTGCAGATTGTCCACATCTGCTTTGCAGATGATCTTCTTATGTGTTGCATGGCTGATGAAATATCCATGAAGATGCTTATCAGATGTTTCCAACAATTCTCTGAAGTCTCAGGATTGCATGCTAATATGGATAAAAGTTCATTATATATAGCAGGAGTAAAGAAGGAATTCAAGGATAAAATGTTAGCTGAGTTGCAGTTATCAGAAGGGACCTTACCATTCAAATACTTGGGAGTACCATTATCTGCAAAAAAGATCAGCATACAACAGTGTATGCCCTTGGTGGAAAGAATTGTGGACAAGATTAGAAGCTAGACCTCTAAGTTTCTTTCATATGGAGGCAGACTACAGCTCATCAAGAGTGTCTTGTTTGAAATGCAGACATATTGGGCTCAAGTGTTCCTCATCCCTTAGAAGATTGTAAAGATGGTGGATAACATATGCAGGAGGTATCTGTGGACTGGAAGCAATGACACCACCCAGAGAAATCCTATATCCTGGGAGACTTTGTGTAAGCCAAAAGCAGCAGGAGGACTAAACATAATCAACTATGAAGCATGGAACAAGGCAGCAATAACAAAGCTACTATGGGCATTAGTGAATAAGAAGGATAAACTCCGGATAAAATGGATACATGACCAATATATAAAGAAGCAAGATAGCAAGTATGGAAGTTCCTAAACAAGCTAGTTGGCTTGTAAGGAAGATATTCAATGCAAGAGAATGGTGGGAAAATGATATGCAAAGAATGCAAGCCTGTGTAAAGAAGGGGAAGTTCAGCATCAAAACAACATATGTAAAAAGCAATCCAGAATGGCCAAAAGTGAGATGGAAATCCATAACAATGATCAATGGTAGTCTGCCAAAGAAACAGTTCATAGTGTGGATGGCAATGCATAGAAGATTGGCAACAGTGGATAGATTGTTGAAATGGGGAGTTCAAGTTGAACAAGGATGTGTTCTGTGTGAAAGAGACTTGACTGAGACTCATGAACACTTATTCTTTGAATGTTCATACTCAAAAAAACTATGGGAAAGCATGTTAACATGGCTTGGATATCACAGAAGAACTCAAGACTGGGAAGAAGAAGTTAACTGGTTAATCAAGAATGTGAATAACAGAAACCCAAAGAAAGCCATAATAGGAGTTGTGTTTGCTGCTGTGATGTACAACATATGGATGAAAAGAAATAGTAGAAGATTTCAACAATGCAAGAAGACAGTACAAGACAGAGCAAAGGATATTGCTGTCCAAATTCATGTTACTGGACAAAAACAACAAAAATGGAAGCCACTACTGGAAAAGTTAAACAACTATCCTAGTTGTTTATAGGATAGTTATATGCTTTATAATAGAATAGCAACAGAAGAGTTGTATAGAAATTTGTAAATGGTTTTTCTTATTTTGAGATCTGCTCCAAAGTCCATAGAGAGCAGATGGTGTATATTTGCAAAAAAGGTTGGAATAAAAGTTTTACTTTCGACCAAAAAAAAAAAAGAAGAAGAAGAAGATTTTACTAAATTAGTGGACTATTGGTGCATTAGTTTAAAAAAACAAAAATATTTTGCAAAATATTTTTTTTAAGTAATTATTTTTAATTCAGCATTGACCTAACGGCCAAAGGACATAAGTGAACCAAAAAGGTGGATAAAGGGGTATTTTTAGCCCAATAGGTGGATGAAGGGTATTTTTAAGAGAAATTTTCATAAAGCACTATCTTTTAGTAGTAATTAGCCATCTATAGATACCATTTGCTATATTACGGATTATAGATACCTTTTTCTGTGGTTATAAGATGCATTTGATGTATTTAAGCTATTGTAATGATGAATACAGTAGCAAAAATAGGCGTGAATCAGGGAAGTGCAGCTAATCAGTTGTTGTATTCGACTGTATTCGACTATATTCATGGAGTGAAACATGGGATTACAGCTGGACAGATTATTGTATTCGACTTTATTGACGGCGTGAAATAGGGGATTACACTATTTTTAAAACGGAAAGTGAATCAATTAACATAATAGACTCCTAATATAACTCAACAAACTCAATTATAACACACAAGTTTTGTATTTTCAGTTATAAAAAAGATTCTCAACCGAAAAATACCCCAAAAACATAACAATTTTAAGAGAAATTATAAAATACATCTGAATACATAAATTATATTAATTAAAAAAATATATGAATACATCCATGGCATATAGCGAGACAGTGGATACAATGAAATACATAGGATACATCGGATACAATAAATACAATGAAAAAAAAGACAGTGAATACAATGAAATACATGTAATACAGCGGGATACAATGAAAAAAAAAAGACAGTGAATACAATGAAATACATGGAATACAACGAGATACATTGAATTACAATGAAAAAAAAGACAATAAATACAATGAAATACATGAAAATACATTGAAATATATTAACAGAAAATCAAGTTGCTCAGCCCCAAACTCCATCGTCTTTGTTCAAGAACAAACCCCAATTTCCGGCAAATCCGCCATTCACCGGAAGTAGGTAGTGAAAACACGCCGCCTTCGTGGAAATTTCACTCTGAGTTGTTTGGCAATAAGAATTCCTTTAAATTATTAGAAGCACGCACTAGTGGAGCAATGTCGTCTTTTTTGCCAAAACCTTCTGGAGAAGGATCTCAAGAATGACTCCACAACTATAACGACTGATCTCCTTTCGCCTTGTACTGCCACGGTGCTAATGAATCTGCCATAACTATTGTACTTTTGAAAACTAAGTAGACGCAAACTCTTTCTGATTTCTTAGTTCCTTCGATACAATACCATTAATTGGATCGAAAAACAGAATCGAACCCTTGGTCATGGAATACAGTAATAACAACTTCAGAAAAAGTATCATGCGAACTAAACAATTCGAAATCAGCATCTCTGAAGTGGGCTTTGCACAAATCCGGTGGAAGGAGGAGATCGGAAATTTTAATGGGATGGGGGAAGAGAATGTGATGTATCAAAGTAGAGAGAGAAAGAAAATAGTGTAACTGACTAGCGTATTTAGTGGCTTAGGGCTAGGAGGTTACCAAAATTAAATATTTTGCTATAAATTTTAAAAGGTATCTATAGAATATAATTTTGTTAATGGTGTTTATTTAAAATAAATAAGGTGTTAACCTTTGCTATAGGAGGTAAAAATTTCTATTTTAAAACCTTTTCCAATAGTTTAGGGTCATTTTGAACCCTTTTCCGTAATTTTAATAGATTAGTTGTTGGAGTAATACAACCGAGTTATATTAGATTACTAGAACAACCATGGTGATATGTTTTTAACATAAACTTGCAGCACCAAATATGACTATTAAATATTCATTTGTTTTTGAAACACTGGAAAACAATTTCCAGAAAATATGTCCCTTACATACCAAACACACCCTACATTCCTTAACACAAGTAAGAGAGTTCCTCCCTAACATGTAGTTGTGCACGTTTATCAAAAGAACATCGCAAGTAGCTTATTTGAAATAAGCATCATCTTCTAAAACAGGAAACTTGGTTCCCGTATGACCCGAGAATGTGAGATGTTGCTGTTTGTTATTCCAATATGACTCGAGATCTGTCTGTTAATACAATCTGTGCTTTCCCGGTTTAAACAGAAATTTGGACCAGTATGTTGATTTTACAGTATCCCACCATAGCTTATAATGTAAACACCCAAATAAAGCAATAGGAACACCAGAAATAGCAGCAATGAGCTTTGGCTGCCAAGCCATATGATTATTATAGACCAAGAAGAAAGTTGCTGCAAAAGCCACGAGCATGCCAACTATCGAGGCAAAGAGTGTCGTGAGTCCAAAGAGTAATTTCTTGGGCAATGACACAACAAAGTCGTCTTCATTGTAGCGAGAAGTAAGAATGGACAAGAACATAATGATGGAAACAATTGAGCAGAACATTGCCACTGCATCTGATATGACAAAAACCGAAAATCCTTTCAATTTTAGCATTATGGGGGTACCTTCATTGTCATCATTACCGCCTGGCAGAGTGAAGGCTGCAGCAAACATCACTGTGGCAATCAAAGTTGCAACAATCATACAATAATTTGCAGTGTCTCTCATCCACCTTTCACCTTCTTTCAACAACAGCTTGTGTTCTTCTGAGAATAATTGCCTTGGGGTTTTTTCATCATTGTTTTCCATCCTGAGAAATGAAGGTGGTACAATTTTCTCCACCTCCTACCAAATAATTACTGCATGAGATGATAACTAGCAATAGAAAAGGTTACAAACTCCTCTTTAAAATAAAATTTTAACAACAAAAGCTGTAAACATACATGTTTACAACAAAAAATAAAATGGCTGAGATAGACATGCATAAGAGAAGTAGTTTCTGACTGCCAATTTTGCTCGTAGTCATCTCTTACCTTAAACCACAATATCTCTCTTTGCAGTCGAAGAGCTGCTCCAGATACCCGGAGAAATGACGGTGGCATAATCTTCTCTTCCTCCTGTACAAATCAGTCATAATTTAAAGGAAGATGACCAAATTATATGGCACTCTTACATTAAGACATAGTTCATGTATCATTGTAAATTGGATTGATAGGATAGGAAATATAGTATGCATACAAGAGAGAAAGAAAAATGACGAAAGTTATCACAAGTGTGTATGGTCTTCAAAAACTATTTTCTGGTATTTGTTGGGGAGCACAAAATATTTTTACTGAAAAGCATTTACTAGAGTGGATAAGAGTTTCAACAAATTGGATAGTTTTTTGCATTGAAAATTACTGATGAAACTTTTGAGTGTTAAAGATGGATAACAATATCTATGTGTTGGTTGAAGCTAGCTAGTATTATGAGGAGTAGGAGATGGGATAGTTATAAATGAAAAAGGCTTCCGTTCACAAGTGAGAGAAGTCATTTCCCCCTTTTTGATGGAAAATATATATACTACTTTCAAACTCCAGAAAAATGACTCTAAAAGAAAATCCAGAACAAATGACTTCTGTAAATCAGAACACTGAAAATAAAAGGGCATCCCGGAGCACTAAGCTCTCGCTATGCGCAGGGTCCGAGAAAGGGCGTGACCACTAGGGTCTATTGTACGCAACCTTACCCTACATTTCTGCAAGAGGTTATTTCCACGGCTTGAACCCATGACCTCCTGGTCACGTGACAACAATTTTACCAAGCTACACCAATAGGACAGAGTTTATCACCTTAAAGCACAATGTCTCTGCTAACTTTTTAATGGCTTCGATCTCTCTAATCAGTTTTTGTAGTGCTTTCCTCATTATAATATTGCAAGGGCTTGGCTGGCCAATTTTTTGATCAATCTCAGTAATTAATTGTTGAAGAGCCTCTTCATATTCAATATTGGCAGGTGTTTGCTCAGCTAGTCTCTGTTGAAGGATCTCTTCCAAAAGCTGCTTAATAGATTCCAAGATTATATCATTACAAGGCATTGGCTGCCCAAGTTTCTGTTTGAGTTCTTCTATCTCTCCAAATTGTTGCCCGATTTTCTGTTTGAGAGGGATTGGCTGCCCTAACTTTCCAGCCAAATGGAGAATGTTATTGCCATCAACATCAACATAGAGAGTTATCAAGTCTTTAACTGCTCCTATTTGGTGTATAAGACTATAGACTTTTTCTTGCCGATGTAAAGCAGCAACATGAAAAATGGTGCGCTTCCTTCTGTCGACTTTCCATATCAGATCAGGATGATCACGAATTAGCACAGCTAAAAACTCTACATTTCCTGCTTTTGCAGCAGAATTCATTATTTGGGTCTTTGAGATTAACCGCGCGAGCTTATCCTCTGGCAATTGTAGACACTCTGCCCAGAGCTCCTCAAGTAGCACACCAGCTTGCTTCTTCAGCAATGATTTTCCCCGAATAACCCAAACCCTTTCGAACCCTAAAATTCCAGCAATGTATATTACAAACTACTACTAATAAAGAGCTCCATCTTGAAACAAAAGTCAAAACAAAGCAAGAAGAAATAAGCAATACTTCAAGCAAAAAAATGCAGAATTGAATTTGTGATACAATGTTTGTACACACCTATGTCGCGCGGACTCCCTAAAATGATGCCGCACCCGTGTCGGATCCTCCAAAAATACAAAGGATCCGACACGCACCCGGCAACATTTCTGGAGAGTCCGAGCAACATAGGTACAAACAGGACTGCAAATTGAAACAAAAAAGTCTTAGTAGATCTTACGTGTAATAAATGGCATCCTGGAAATCATACTAATAAATATTCGCCGCACTGGAGAACAAACTCGCATACTTCCGGCATTTAGCATATGAACGAACCTTTTCCACTTCCCATCCGGATCTCGCCAACTGATT